ATGCCATACTATAATTATAAATATTTTATTATAAGGAGTCCTGGCGGCCAAGTGGTTTAGTACCCAGCTGTAACCGAAAGATTGGCAGTTTGAACACACCAGCCGCTCCACTGGAGAAAGATGAGGCAGTCTACTGCCTTAAAGATTACAGCCTTGGAAACCTTATGGGGAAGTTCTACTGTGTCCTATAGGGTCGCTATGAGTTGGACTAGACTTGATGACACTGGGTTTGGTTTTTTTAAAATATGTTATATTACAATTTTACATATATATATATATATTAATTATACTAGCTTATGGAGCCCTGGTGGCGTCGTGGTTAAGAGCTCGGCTGCCAACCAAAAGGGCGGCAGTTCGAATCCACCGACTCGACGGCATCTAACAACAACAACATATTAACTTATATATATTATGTAACATATAGTTTATTAATTATAATGTAAATATTATATATGCGATAATACTTATATAAAACCCAAAACCAAACTCGTTGCCATCGAGTTGACTCCGACTCATAGCAACCCTATAAGACAGAGTAGAACTGCCCCATAGGGTTTCCAAGGAGTGGCTGGTGGACTTGAACTGCCGACCTTTTGATTAGTAGCTGAGTTTTTATCCACTGTGCCACCAGGGCTCCATATGTAATATAAGTTATATGTAAATTATTGATCAATTATAGAAATAAGCCAGTTGTTTATTATGGCATGATCTAATATATAATAAGATCTCAGGTGGCGCAGATGGCTTGTGCTCGTCTGCTAACTGAAAGGTTGGCAGTTGGAACCCGCTGAGCAGTGCCCTGGGAGAGAGGCTCAGTGATCTGCTCCATTAAGATCACAGCCAAGAAAACCCTGTGCAGCAGTTCAACTCTGCAACACTTGAAGTCGACATGAGGCCGAATCTACTCGATGGAAATGAGTTTGGTGTTTTCTAAATACAGTGTTTTACGCAAATAATGCGCACCTTTCTACTTTGTTTGCCAAACACACCCTCCCCCAGCGAGGTATTTTCTTTCGTGCTCTATGCTAATGTTTGTTTACAGTAACATGTAAAAAAATTGGCAAAGCTATAACTATATAATAAATTATTTATTATTACATATTAATAATTAATATGTATTATGTAAAATTATGTATTAATATGTAATACTATGTATTAATATGTATTATGTATAATTATGTAATAATTAATATATATTAATATATTAATCTCAAAATCATCAGCCATGCATGCTATAGGGCAGAGGCCGGCTCCCTCCCTCGTGGCTGTGGGCTACCCTCCCTGCCTGCTCCCTTCCCTAGACACTTGTGTGTCTCCCTGTTCTGATCAGGGCAGGTAATAGGACTCCAAGCGTCCTTCCTGATGCCTTTACCAGGGGTCACAACGCCAGAGAATGAACAGGGTAGGAGGGTAGGAGTCCGGGGTGCTACCACCCTGAGCCACACGGGCACACCCCCTCTCACCCCTCTCCTAGGCCCTCTGCTCTCAGGCCATCGGCATATCCAGCTGGCAGTGCCTGGCGCCTACGAGAAGCCACAGCTCTTGCCCCTGCAGCCTGCAGTAGAGCTGGGCTTCCTGCCCACGTTTACCTTCCACGTGAACCCAGTGCTAAGCTCCAGGCTGGATGTGCAGCTAGGAGAGAAGTTCACCGTCCTGCAGGTGAGTGAGCCCATGACCCCAGTGAGGGCTGGAGTCTCGTCCCTTGGGAAAGGGCTGGATGACAGGATCCGTCCAGGCTAGAGGAGCATTCCAGAGTGCCATGGAGGCCCATTTTCCTCCACTCTGGGGAGCTCCTTGGGTGTTTTTTGTTTTTTAATTTTTATTGTGCATTAGGTGAAAGTGTCCAGAGCAAATTAGTTTCCCATTCGATAGTTTGCCCATAAAATGTTCCATGACATCAGTTTCATTCCCTGCAATGTGTCAGCACGTTCCCCATCTCTGCCCTAGCTTCCCTTCGTCCTGATTTTCTACCCCTTCCTGCCTTCTCATCTTTGTTTTTGGGCCTTTCGGGTGTTATTGTTTCTTTTATGGGCCTGTCTGTGGTTTGGCTGAAAGGTGGTCTCCAATTCCAGTTCAGAAGGGTGTCTTAGGGCCATAGTCTCGGGGGTTCCTCCAGTCTCTGTCAGACCAGTAATTCCGGTCTTTTTTGTGAATTTGATTTTTTGTCCTACAATTTTAATCCCGCTCTGTCCAGGACCCTCTGTTGTGATCCCAGTCAGAGCAGTCGATAGTGGTATCTGGTCACCATCTAGTTTTTTCTGGTCTTGGGGTTGTGTAGGCTGTGGTTCATGTGGCCCATTAGTCCTTTGGACTAATTGCTCCCTTGAGTCTTTGGTTTACCTTGGGTGTTTTGTTGTTTGCAGAGCGGCCCAAGTGCTGAGCTGGAGACCGAGGCCAGCAAGTTGGGTGCGGGAGGCATCCTGCTCTCCTCTTTGCCCCTAGGCCAGGAGGAGCAGTGCTTCGTGACCCTGGGGGAGGTAAGGCTCTGTCTGGGTGCTAGAGGGACCCCCACCTGCTCTGTGCCCACCAAGAGAGACCGGGGCGGGGGGACGCTTCAAGGGTCAGGATCAGACCAGCCCAGAGCTCAGCCGTGGTGTCCACTTCTGGGCCCGACTTACCAGAGCAACAAGGGCTGTTCTGTGGGAGGGCAGCTTAACTGGGAGGAGGGCGCTCAGGGACGGGGCTGCTGTGTCTTTCAGGACCAGGATGTGGCGCTGAGTGTGAAGGCAGAAATGAGGTGAGGAGGGGCTTCAGGAAGAAGGCCTCCTGGGGCTTGGCTGCAAGTATGGGGACATGCCCCAATGTGTTCTGCTCTCCTGCCCACCTGGCTCTGGCCGTGGGGACCATCTCTTTCCCTCCTCATTTCTGGCCCTAGCAGGAAGCCCTTGGGGTCTTTCTGAGGGGGTTCCACAGAGTGTGGGTCTGTGCTTGTGAAAAATGGGCTTGGTTGGAGCCTCTCCTCCACGGAAGACACTCAGCCCTGCTCTCCCACCCCTGCTCCTCCTGAGGCAGCTCTGGGGACCTTGACCTGCGCCTTGGCTTTGACCTCTGTGATGGGGAGCAGGGGTTTCTGGACAAGAGGAAGCAGGTCGTGTCCAAGGGCCTTCAGCAGGTGCTGGGACTGAGTGAGGCTCCGGACAGTGACCAGGTATGGAACCGTATTCCTTCCTGTGGGCTGCTGTAACAAAGTACCGCAAACTAGGTGGTTTAAAATAACAGAATACCACAAACTGGGTGTAAGAGAAATTTGCTCTCTCATAGTTCTGGAAACTAGAAGCCCAAAATTAAGGCATCAGCAGGGTGGTCCTCCCTCTGAAGGGGGAGAATTTGTTGCCTCTTCCAGCTTCTGGTGGCCCCAGGCATTCTGTGGCTTGCGGCAGCATAACTCAAATCTCTGCCTCTGTCTTCACATGGCCATCTTCCCCTATGTCTATGCGTGGTGCAAATAGTTAACGGCGCTCAGCTGCTAACCAAAACGTTGGCGGTTTGAGTCCACCCAGAGGCACCTCAGAAGAGAGGCCTAGTGATCTACTTCTGAAAAATCAACCATTGAAAACCCCATGGAGCACAGTTCTATTCTGACACACATGGGGTCACCATGAGTCAGAATTGACTTGACAGCACCTGGTCTACTCTGTGTCAGACATCCACTCTGCAGATGGAGGGTAAATAGGGCACAGAACCTGCCCACAGGAGCCCTGTCTCATCCTGCAGTCTGAAGGAACAGGGCCCTCTGTGAACATTTTTACAAGACAGGAGAAGAAAAGAGACCGGGAATGAGCCAACCCCTCATGGAGAAGCTGAGCGGCCTTTTAGCTTTTAGTCGGATCCCCCTAGGCCCCTCTAGTCCTGAAGAGGACCTTCACATCTGGGCACCTCACATGTCCAGGATGCTTGGTGGCCTTGGTCACTTGTACTTAGTGGTTCTCAACTGGGAGTCATTCTGCCCCCCAGGGGACAATTTGGCAATGTCTGGAGATATTTTTTATTGTCATGACGGGAGGAAAGGGACCTACTACTAGAATCCAGTGGACAGAGGCCAGGGAAGCTGCTAAATAAGCATCCTGTAACACGCGGGACAGCCCCCAGAACAAAGAAGTGTCTGGTCCAAAATGTCCATAGTGCCTAACTGGTTTGGGCGAATCACCCCAGGTGTGCCCCCTTCCTGGTGTAATAGAGCCAGACTGCCTGGTTTGGATCCCAGCTCATCACTTCCTCACTGTATGGTCTGGGCACATCATCTAACCTTCCGGTGGCTGTTTCCTCATCTGTAAAATGGGGATCCCATTGGGTTGCTGTGAGGATTAATGAGAGCAGGTGTAAGGCACTTAGAACAGCGTCTGACGTGTAGGTAGAACGGAGATGACAGTGGTGGATGTTGTCATTGTTGTTACTGGGTCCCAGGTGCCTGTGGTGGCTGTGCTGGGTTCAGGGGGTGGAACCCGAGCCATGTCTTCCCTGTATGGCAGCCTGGCAGGGCTGCAGGAGCTCGGCTTCCTGGACACCGTGACCTACCTGGGTGGTGTCTCAGGGTCCACCTGGTAAGTAAGGTGGGAGTGGGGTGCAGAGTAAAGGGGAGTGTTGAAGGGGGAGGGACATGACCTGGTGATCTGATGGAGTCCCCCAGGAGGGCCTGGGACCCTGCAACCAAGGGTTTTAGGGGGGACAGTAAGGGGCTGAGGCCCAAGGGCCCCTCTTAGTGGGTGGTGCCGAGCAGTGGGGGTAGGTGATGGGGGAGGAGGGGGCGCTCACAGACCCCTGCATCCCTCCTTCCCTTTGCTGTGCCCGCTGCCCCTGGCTCACAGGCACGCCCTCCATCCCCAGGTGCATGTCTACACTCTACAAAGAGCCAGCCTGGTCCCAGGTGGCCTTGCAGGGCCCCATTGAGCGTGCCCAGGCCCGAGTCTGCAGCACAAAGATGGGGGCAGTGTTCACAGAGAGGCTACAATACTACGCCCAGGAACTGGTGGCCCGCAAAAGCAGTGGCCACAGTGTTTCCCTCATCGACCTGTGGGGTCTCCTCATTGAGTATTTCCTGTACCAGGAGGTAAGAGAAGAGCAGGCAGTGAACATGGGTCCTCTCTATCCCTGCTTCCCCAGCGCATAGCTCTGCCTCAGACCCCAGGCTAAGAGCCGAGATTTACAAAGCTGGCCCTGAGGTCTGAGCTCCCCTGGGGGGAAGGGGCGAGATCCCAGGGTGGGCTGACACCCCTTCATCTTTCCTGGGTTCTCAGCTCTGACTGCATATTAGAATCACCTGCACAGCTTTCCAAAAATGCTCACGCCTGGGCCCCACCCCAAGAGATACTGATTTCAGTTGGTCTGGGGCAGGGCCCTAGCATAGCTATATTTTGAACATGACTCAAGTGATTCCAGATGCAGCTGAGGCAGGACACCACCATTTCAGCTCATTGGCCAATGCCGCGGTGACTCCCGTCACCTGTTGGCTGTTCCTAGAACTGCAGGCCAGGTGCCTGCCGGGAAATGAGCAGACTTCAGAGCTGAGGTGCTCAGCCTTGGGGGCCTGGCCCCTGGGGTGTGGCTATCCGTTACGAATGTATATCACAACTGCTTTCTCATTCCCAAGTAAATAATCCATGTTTTCTAGTGATTTCCTTTTTTTCTTGTGAAAATATATGTAACCTAACGTTTGCCAATTCAGCATTTTTTGAGTGTACGTTTCAGTGACCCCAGTTACATCAATCTTGTTGTGCCCACCTCACCAGGATCCGCTGCCAGATTTTCCATCGCCGTAAACGGAAACTCAAGCTTCCTGACTTACTGTTTAAACGAATTAGATTGGACCTTCAGCTACTCCTTGAACAGTGTCACTCTGAATCCCTTGTGTTCTGACATTCTTCCTATTTTTATTGTTCAAAAAAAAAATTCCTTTTTGAATGGCAAAAAAGGAGTTCCCATAATCACCCTGGGTTTGCACAAAACCCACAGTGGCCCGCCTTCCCTCTGCTGCAGCCTACAGCCTGTCCCTTAGCGAGCTCTCTAGAATGTTTCGGAGTCTCTCTCACAGCCATGCCACGCCCCTGCCTGGACACAGTGCTGGGCCTCGGGCCGTCGGAATGGGGACAGAGACTCCCAAGGTCAAGGTGCCTCCCTTCTTTCCTGCCCAGGAGAACCCGGCCAAGCTGTCTGACCAGCAGGAGGCGGTCAGCCAGGGTCAGAACCCTTATCCCATTTATGCCAGTGTCAACGTCCGCACCAACATCAGTGGGAAAGACTTTGCAGGTACGTGGGGTTGTGGGGACAGAGAGGAGGTGCAGGAAATGGTCGGTAGGAAGGGTGTAAGAAAGCAGGGCTATCAGGGTAAAAATGGGAGGGGGTCAAATACAGGGGCCTCGGAGAACAAGGGGTTCTGCCTCCTGCTCTTGGCAAAGCAAAGATTCCTGCTCAGGCACAAGGGTCAGGTGGCCCCTGGGGTCCTAGTGGGGAGTCCCTGCTGATTTTCCCTTCCCTCCGGGCCCCCAGAGTGGTGTGAGTTCACTCCCTATGAGGTCGGCTTCCCCAAGTATGGGGCTTATGTCCCCACCAAGCTCTTCGGCTCCGAGTTCTTCATGGGGCGGCTGATGCGGCTCCGGCCTGAGCCCCGGATCTGCTACCTGCAGGGTGAGTCTGGGCTGGAGACCTGGTGTCTTAGTCATCTAGTGCTGCTGTAACAGAAATACCACAAGTGGATGGCTTTAACAAACAGAAATTTACTCTGTCACAGTTTAGGAGGCTAGAAGTCTGAATTCAGGGCGTCGGCTCTCTAGGGGAAGGCTTTCTCTCTGCTGGCTCTGGGGGAAGGTCCTTATTCCTTGGCTCCTTAGTGATGTCCATGCGGCATGGCATCTATCGTCTCCCCTCTGCTTGCTAATGTAATCTCTGTTATATCTCAGAAGAGACTGACTCACGAACACCCTACACTAATCCTGTCTTATTAACATAACAAAGACAGCCCATTCCCAAATGGGATTATAATCACTGGCATAAAAAACCCATTGCTGTCAAGTCAATTCTGACTCATAGCAACCCTATAGGACAGAGTAGAACTGCCCCATAGTGTTTCTGAGGAGCAGCTGGTGGATTTGAACTGCCAACCTTTTGGTTAGCAGCTGAGCTCTTAACCACTATGCTACCAGGGCTCCAGCACTGGCATAGAGGTTAGGATTTAAAACATGTTTTTGTGAGACACAATTCACTCTATAACACCCGGGGAGGGCAGAGGTCTGACAGGGCCGAGCTAGGCCCTGATTCGGGGTGGAGGGAGAGGGTGGGAGTTATGGGGGCCTGGGCCCTGCCTGTCTCCCTAGGTATATGGAGCAGCGCCTTTGCGGCCAGCCTGGATGAGATCTTCCTGAAGATCACCGGCTCGGGCCTCGGCTTCCTGAACTCACACAAGGGCAGTGTCAACATCACGGGTAAGGGCAGAGACCCTGGCCTCCCATGTCACTTTGCAGCAGTGCGGGTCCTGGCAGAGGTGTAAAGGGCCACGCCTTATTCACCTTTGCATCCCTCGTGCCGAGCACCTGACCCGTAGTAACTGCCTGGAAAGTGTCTAATGGATGACATTCTGATTGGCAATTACATATTACAACTTTCATTTTCAAAGGGTAGGAGATAAACTATTATTTAATAAATGTGATTTCCTAGGCAGGTTTTAAAACATGGGGCACACACAAAAAAAGTAATTTAAAAGAGTTCTGTGTTAAGTTTGTGAGGCAGGTCAGAGATCCGGGAGGCTGGCTGGTGGGGTGGGCTGTGGTGTGGAGGAGGCAGGGAGGTCCTGGAGCTGAGAGGTTCCTGGACACAGGAGGCCGCCACTTCGGGCTCTGTGTCACTGGTGCCTCCCCCACCCTAGACGACTGCCAGAAGCTCCAGTTGCAGGACTCCTCCCGGTTAAGTACCAGGCTCTTCACCCCCCAGGGACCTTTCTCCCAGGCTGTCCTGGACATGTTCACCTCCCGCTTTACCTCTGCGGAGAACTTTAACTTCACCCAGGGCCTCTGCCTACACAAGGACTATGTGGCTTGCAGGGAGTTCGTGGCCTGGAAAGGTGCTTACTGTCCTGGGCGGGCGGGTGGTGGGGCAGGGTCCCTCTTCCTGCCTGCGCCTGTGGATCAGTGGGGGGAGTGCTGCTTTTGACCCAGGGAAGGACTCTGATTACTGTGCTGGAAGGGCAGGGCCAAGGGGCTGGGTGGGAGGTCCCCATGGCTTCAGAGAAGGGGGTGGGGCAAGGGGGAAGGAGTGTCTGCACAGAAGGCACTCAGATTAGGAAGAGCCGAAGGCTGTTGTCAGAAAGCAAGCATTTGTTCCTGTCCATCCTCATGTGTTCCTTGCAGACTCACACCCGGATGTCTTCCCCAACCAGCTCACTCCCATGAAGAAGTACTTGTGCCTGGTGGATGGGGGGTTTGCCATCAACTCCCCATTCCCACTGGCTCTGCTGCCTCAGCGGCCTGTGGACCTCATCCTGTCCTTCGACTACTCCTTGGAAGCTTCTTTTGAGGTGATGTGTGTGGTAGCGGTGGTGATGGGGCTTCTGAAATGAGTGGACAAGGAGAGAGGAGTCTGTGTTGAGTGGCCTGGCTACTGTTCAGGGATTGTCCTTCTTGGAAGACCTGGGTTCTCATCTGTGTGGCCCCACCAGGGAGGGGGGTGAGTGCCTTCTGAATGCTGTTAGCTGTAATGGTCTCTCCCAGTTGGAGGCAGAGAATTGCTGAGGTTAGGTGAGGGGGAGGCTAAAGAAGGTCCTTGGGAGTCTTCTATCCTGGTTAGCAGAAGACCCTGCCCACCATTGTAGGTTAGCAGTGATGGTCTCCCCCAGTAGGAGGAGGAGAGTTGCTGAGGTTAGGGGAGGGGGAGGCTAAGGAAGGTCCTCAGGAGTCTTCTATCCCGGGCAGCAGAAGACCCTGCCCACCACTGTAGGGTCCCCTGCCCCGTTCTGGGTCCGGATCCCCTGTCCCTTTGTTACAGAGCTGTCAGGTTCCCTCAGAGAGTCGCTAACAGTGGCTTCCTCAAACTCGGAGCCTTCTAGGGTGGTGGTCAGATTCCACCACGCAGGTGTGATCCTGGCTCTGCTGCTGGGCCGGCCCTTCTCTCTTTGGCCTCTTCCTCCTCCTGGGCCAAATGAGGGCTGGGATTGGATGATGAATAAAAGCAGCTTCCAATGCTGACATCCTGTACTAACTCAGTGTCAACCTTGTGAAATGGAAATCAGCCTCCAAAGTGGGGTGGTGGTGCGGGGCCCAGAGAAGGGAAAGAAGTGGGCGTTATGGGAAGGAATGATAGGGAGATTGGTGGCATATAGGTACTGCCTTGATTACTGCTAGTCTTCACTGCAACTCCACCAGATAGTTACTCCCATTTTTATTTTACAAATGAGGAAACTCAGTAAGGTATTGCCACCTGCCTGAAGGCACTCAGCTAGGAAGAGGCAGAGTTGATATTGAAGCCTGGGTCTATGTGAGTTCCCCCGCTCCCCGAGTTCTAGGTGGGGGGCCAGGGCAGGGATGGCAGGCAGGCAGGATCCAAACTTTCCTCCTGCCCAGATCTTACAGATGACAGAGAAGTACTGCCTGGACCGGGGAATCCCCTTCCCTAGGATTGAGGTGCACCCAGCGGACTTGGAGGAACCCCGTGAGTGCTATCTGTTTACCAGTGCTGAGGACCCCCGCTCACCCATCATACTACACTTCCCTCTTGTCAACCACAGCTTTCGCACACACCTGGCCCCAGGTAAGGGGAAGCCCTGGGCCGGGGCTCACTCACGGGGCCCTGGGGTGGTGATGGGGTGCTGCGCACAGAGGGCCCAAAAGCCCGCCTCCCGGAGAGCATGGTGGACCAGTGCTGCCCTCTGCTTCCTGGACCTCAGTGTCCACGCTGGGGCGCCATCTCCTCTGATGGCCGTGAGAGCTGAGATGGGGGCCCAAGCAGGGGCGCTGGTCCCCCAGGCCACAAAGGACCAGCAAGGTGTTCTGGGGCAAGGGGGGCTTCTGGGCTGTCAGACCCCAGCCAGCTCCATAGAGCACCCCAGCCTGGCCTCCCCCTGCTCCCCATGCCCCCCACAGGTGTGGAGCGGCAAACAGCCGAGGAGAAGGCCTCCGGGGACTTTGTCATCAACGGGCCAGACACCCCCTATGGCATGATGAACTTCACCTACGAGCCCCAGGAGTTTGCGCGGCTCGTGGCCCTGAGTCGATACAATGTCCTGAACAACGCTGAGACCGTGAGGCAGGCCCTCCGGCTGGCTCTGGACCGGCGGCAGCAGGCTGGGGAGAGGGTTGGGGGCTGACCCGGGCTGGAGTCTGAGGACCGTGACTGAGATGAGGGGACGCACTCACACATGCCCTCCACGCCCGAAGTGCCACAATTCCTCGTTCAAGCAGGGCATGTCTGCAGACTCTGGGAAGAAGAGCCTGGGAGGAGGGTGGCCTGGCCTCGGACCCTCAGCCCTGCAGCTGCTCACGAGCAGTGAGGGCCGGGGCCGTGCTTTGGGCTGGCATGGGATGGGGGCAGCTTGGCTCTCCTCTCCTGGCCCCTTATGGCTGCTGCCTGTGACAGGCACTGCTCCTGCCCTGGGCTCAGCGGTAAGAGGCTGGCCCCTGAGCTCCGTCATGCTCACCACCGCGGCTGGCCACCATCTATGCCCTGTTTACTAAGAGCCTCCAGTCAATCTGTTTTAATGCCTCTACAGCCTCAGGCTGTCTCTGGCCCCTGGCAAGTAAGGCCCAAGAGGGCAGGCATTTTGTCTGCTTTGCTCACTGCTGTATCCCCAGTGCCTAGCGCCCGGCTGGCACACAGCAGGTACTCAGCAAATATTTGACAAATAAATGAATAAGAGTCTACACTCTTAAGGGATGGATCATTACCCACCTACATGAAAAGATGTGCAACACTCCAGTGGTTTGGAATGATTCAGGGTCATGGACCGTTTTGAAAAGCTGGTGAAAGCCACGGACCCTCTCCCCAGACAAACGCAGGTAAATAAGAAAACCTGCATACAACAAGGTCTCTACTTTAGCTATGTAGCATAGATCCCTCCTCCACCTCTACTTTCAAAGGCCTTCTGACACCAATTGCAACGCAGTTCATTGCAGCCCAATTCTTCTGACCCTGACTATAGGAATCAGGCCAGAGTTCACAGATTAAAAGCACTCCCCTACCCCCACCCCCCCAAAAAACCCCAACTCATTGCCATTGGGTTCATTCCAACTCATAATGACCCCATAGGCTTTCCAAGTCTGTAGTCTTTCCGAAGCAGACTGCTACATCTTTCTCCCGAGAAGCAGCTGGTGGTCCGGCCTACCTTTTGGTTCGTAGCTGAGTGCTTAACAACTGCACCACCAGGGCTCCTTGATTAAAGGCACCAAAAAACCAAACCCGGTGCTGTTGAGTTGATTCTGACTCTTACCAACCGTATAGGACAGAGTAGAACTGCCCCATAGTGTTTCCAAGGAGCGCCTGGTGGATTTGAACTGCCGACCTTTTGGTTAGCAGCCGAGCTCTTAACCACTGTGCCACCAGGGCTCTGATTAAAGGCGCAATCCTCCATAAAACTGCCTTCACCTCAGACACCAGCTGCAAGGTTGGGGGTCCCCACCACCACTTATGACCGACTGGCTACAAACTCAGGGCTTCCTACTACCCACTCAGGTTTAATAGTTTGCCGGAACGACTCACAGAACCCGGGAAGACGCAATACTTGTGATTACATTTTATATTGCTGATGAGCATCTCGTGTCCGTTGGAGTCTCATTCCACTGTGGATAATTTATCTTTCTCGAACTTTTAGGACTTTCTCTTTGATTTCAGAAGTTTCAGTACGATTTTTCTAAAGCTTGAGTTTAGAAAAACTTATTGTTGAGCTCTTTCTGTTTCTGAATTCAAGTCTTCTTTAAGTTCTGAGAAATTCTCTGCTGATTTTATCCAAACACTGCTTCCATTGCCTCTTTGTGGAACTTTTGGATATAGGAATGTCCAAATCCATCTTTATACCTGTAAGCTTTCCTTTTATGCCTTCTATCTTTTTATTTGTGCTGCATTCTGGGGGATTTTCTTAGCTTGCTTTTCCAGTTCACTAAACGGTTAAGTGCTGATGACTAGATGAAAGGTTGGCAGTTCAAACCGACTCAGAGGCACTTTGAAAGACAGGCTTGGCGATCTGCTTCCAAAAGGTAACAGCCTTGAAAACCCTGTAACTGCTGCTGTCAAGTTGATTCTGACTCATAACACCTCTATAGGACAGGCTAGAACTGCTCCATAGGATTTCCAAGGAACGGCCAGTGGATTCGAACTGCCAACCTTTTGGTTAGCAGCTGTACTCTATGAAAACCCTATGGAGCAGTTTTACTCTGCACACACGGGGTCACCATGAGTCAGAATCAACTGGATGGCAACCAACAACAACGGAAGAGGCCGCATAGGTCCGGCTCACTATTATGACTCCCCATTGCTGACCCCCGCATTGTCTCATGATCTTGTTTTTCCCTCCCGTTCCAGCCTCTGTAAAAAGTTTAAGATTAGCCTATGTTCCTCCTTGGAGGGTGGAAAACAAGTGATAATGATCTAGGAATGAAAAACCAAACAAAGTACCCATCTTGAGATGAGAAAACCAGGATGTCGCCAGATAACCCTCAGCAATATCAGTAGAAGATTAACTCATCTGGGACGTGACCACCTCAAAGGGGAACTAACACAAACTTCTAAGACCCATAATCCTGTCCCTATAAAGCTTTTGGCCGATCTCTAGTAGGAGAAATGGGTTTTTGGAGGAATCTAGTCCCCTCTGTCTCCTATATATTGATATATAATAAACCTCTTGCTGCTCACCTCACCCCTGTCTCAGAATTGGCTATTGTGGCAGGTGGCTCCAATCTGCGTTATTGCGGTAACAACAACAGTGATAGTCTTCACCTGTGTTCAGTCTGCTCTTCTATCCATCTATTGAGGTTTTTTAGTTTATCTTTTGACTATCACATTTTTCATTTTCAAGTTCTGTAATAGGATATTTTTCAAAACTACTGGATTCATTTCATGGATGTGCTTTATTCTTTTAACTTTGATGACGGTAATAAATTTATTTGAAGGCGTTTTTCTGATTGTTTTATGACCCATTTCCTTGTGGGGAGGTTCTCTGTTGGCTGTCTGGGATGGACTTTGCTTTCTTTATGTATTTGATTTTTTAGTTTCGGTGTGGAGTATGTGGGAACTCTCAGTACTATCTTCAATGTTTTTCTGTAAATCTGAAACTGTTCTAAAAAAATAGACTTTATTTTTTCCAAAAAGTAAGCTTTATTTCCATTTGGAAATGTGTTTTATAAATTTTATATCATAGATTTTTAAAGAAATGTTTTTTCTATTGACTTCTAACTTATTTGCATCTTAGTCAAAGAACGTTATTTGTATGATATCACTTCTTTAAAATTTTTGAAACTTACTGTAAAGCCTCTTTCATGATCAATGTTTGTAAATATTCCATTGTGCTTGAGAAGAAAGTGTATTCTCTAAATATTGTGGCTGTAGTAGTCTATGTCCAGTAGATTAAGCTTGTTAACTGTGTTGTTTATATCGTCTATATTCTTAATAACATTTTATATATGTTTTATTTATTTATCAGTGAGAGAAATATGATTGTGGGTTTGTCAATTTCTCCTTGTAGTTTTGTCAAGTTTTGCTTAGAACACTTTAAGACTATGTTATTTAGGTACATCCAAGTTTCAAACTGTTATATCTTTTGATGATGATTATTTTTATCATTAATAGCAATTATCTTTATCCCTGATGACTCTTGCCTTAAAGTCTCTTTATATCTATATGTACACTTGTTTTTTTATGGTCAGTGTTTGCCTGGTGTATCTTTTTCTACTGTCTTATTTTTAACTTTTTTGTGTTCTTATGTTTTCAGCTTACTCTTGCGAAGAGCTATAGGTGGATTTTTAAAAACTGTAAACTGATGATTTCCCTTCTTTAACCTTTCATTATGAAAAATTTCAAACAGACAGGAAAGTAAATCTGTGTTTTTTAATTTATGAGTTTAGTCCATTAATATTTATTGTGATTATTGATATATTTGGATTCATTACAACCATCTTATTTTATATCTTTTATTCACCCTACTTTTTCTAATATATGTATTTTAAATTTCATGAATTCTTTTTCTTTCTCTCTCTATTATTTTGGAATTTATATATTCCACTTCTAGTCTTTTAATAAATACCCCTAAAATTTGACCTGTTTACTTAAATTTAATGTTAATCAATTTTTTACCGACTGCCAGAACAACACCAGGTCCTCAGAATGCTTTCACTCCAGTCATGCTCCTCCTATTTTACTTATTGTTTGTTGTTGTTTTTTCCTCCTATTATTCATCATCATGATTATTATTTACTTGGTCAAGATTTAGGTTGACCATATGTTTGTCAACTTATTTTCCTATAAATACTGCTTGCATTTCATCCTTCCTTCTGAGTTCTCTTTGTTCTTCCTGGAATAAATCTTTAGAAGTGCTTGGTGAGAGTCGTTAGTGGTGAACCTTCAGTTGTTGATCTGATAAATTCTTCATTTAATGCTCAGTCTTAAATAATGGTTTGTCTGGGTATAAAATTCTCAGTTAGCACTTTTTTTTCTCTCTCAGCATTTTGAAGATATTATTTTGCTTTCTTCTGGCTTCTATTACCGCTATTGAGAAGCCTGCTTCAAGCTAATTGTCGTTCCTTTGTAGGTAATTTATATCCCCTTCGCGTGGGCTTTTAATATATATATTTTTATTTATCTTTGGTGTTCTGCAGTTACACTACAATGTATCTAGTTATGATTTTTTTAAAAAATTTGTCCTCAAGATTCATTGTGATTTCTGTAATAATGATAATAATAGCTAATATCTAGTGAGTGCTAACCAGGTACTATTCTAAGTACTTTATAATGGTAACTCTCTTCATACTCACAATAATGCTATTATTATCCCCATTTTATAGGCAATTTAAATATCTTGTCCAAGTCACGCAATGTTAGGTATTGAAGGTAGGATTTGAATCCAGGCTTTTCCCAGGTCTTCCCATAGGCTTCATGGGGCTACATGAATTGCTTTCTCTGCAAGCCACTTCGAGTTTGTTTTCTGGTACTTGCTGCTGAAAAAATCCTGACAAATCCATTGGGCATCTGGGTGGATGTTGCTGCCACTTACTGAAATAGGAAACCCAATGGTACAACCATTTTGGAAAATGATATGATGCTTCCTTAAAAAGCTAGAGATACCATACGGTCCAGCAATCCCACTCCTAGGAATATGTCCCA